GAGTTTCGCTCTTATTAGAACTCATCAGCAGTGCGAATTCAATGGCTATGCCAGGGTTTGACATCCGAAGCAAGCGCGTTACCAATACTCCACTGGCGCAAGCTCGACTCATGCGAATTTTTACGCCTGAACAGGCGAATATTTTTGCGCTTCAATGATGTGAGCGGAAAGCCTAACGACTCGAACGACGCCCTAGTAACATGTCTTGGCTGTGGCGATCGACTGGCCCGCCAGTCAAGATTTCGGATGGGTCAAGTGTGCGCTGCTGAAGTAGTGGTAATACGCTCGCCTCGCATATCAGATGTGTGGAGCTCGAACCCTGGCACGGCCATGGTTTATGATCCCTCCGTAGTTAAAAGTTCTTGTAGTGAACGTCACACATTTACAGGACTAAATCTTGCATTTTCAGGTCTAATCAAACAAGGGGAACCCTTTTTAGGAAAGGCGATTCATTTCCCTTAAATATGGAGAGTTTTCAGGGTTCCCTGGCGACAAGTTTCCAACGCTAAATCGGTGGGCCTTGTGACCAGCTTTGAGTCACAATTTTTGCAAGATTTTGCCTGCTAACAAGCTCTGGCTAAACTACATTGATGGTTGTTTTTATTTTTACTTTTCGAGGAAGAGCTTTAGATAGGTCCCGAGATTTTCATTTATTAGACATACCCAATCAACCTGTCAGTTGAGAGTGTCAAAAATTGCCCAATGACCGTTCCATTCCTCGTTGGCCTCTAATTCAACTGGTGACGCATCCTTGAGGGTTAGTCTGCAGAACTTGAGATCACCGTTTTAAAAAGTACCCTGAATCCACGGCATTCATGTATCCGATGAGATACATAGGAGCGGAAATAGTTTGGCTCCGTACATCTCGTTCTTTCGAGATTAAATCCTGATTAAAAACTGGGATTACCAAATTTTTGTCAAAACAATGGATCATCTCTAGAACTTAGACCTTTTCACCGTAAACCGATCATCCTTTCTACTTCAGTTCAATAAGATCAGGCAACAATTAGCAGGTGCGAGCGACAGAACAACCCGTTTGATTTCAGATGTGCCAGCGTGAAGGCAGTTTGTTTGTGTCGTGGCAGGATCATCAGTAGCAACTATGTCCTGAAAATATAAATAAGGTTCCTTGAACTCGAAATGTCTTGACTGAAAACGTTCAGCCGCATGGAATGGTCTGCCAATCAACAGCGTGAAAATGTTAAATGACGAGAGAGAAACGAAAAAGTACTTCAGTAAGCTGAGGGACAATTCGGACTGGTTTGTTCAGGAATTGCATAGTTACATAGAATTCATATGCTAGTTAGATTTCATTCAAAAAATTTGGCCTTTCGTAGGTCGTTTTCTTGCGTCGAGACACTGAAATGACGCCAAAATTTATTTTAACTAATTTAAATGCTGCACTCAACAAAACTACTGTTCTGACCTCCGAAAAGTTAAGGGTTGGACCAAAATTTTCCTATACGGCCAATGCAAATGCGATTTCAGGAATGAGCCATGAAATCTGATACCACTGCTTCCAGAGGCGATAAACACATTACACTGTAGAGCAAGTCATTCAACCGTGTATACTGAGCGCAAAAAACGTGCACTTCTTATGTTTCGCGATATAATAAAACACTTGCACGACGACTTACTGATTTTCACCGCTCGTTTAACTCGTATTGCACCGTAGCGTTTATCAAACTCTAAAACACAGGACCATGTTTCAACTCCAACTAATGCTCTCTTCTTAGCCTCGCACACTAGAACCAGACTCACGCTTGGTTCAGTGGGAAAATTCCGTTTATTCGTCGCTTGATCTTAGCAAATCTGGTGTGCATCTGATGGCCAGTGACGGGTTCCTCTACACTGCTGGTTGGTTCCACGGAGCCCTCCATATTCACCGGGTGTTGTTGCCTAATTTCAACGGCCTTCCTAATTGGGATCATTTCCTTGTGACTCCAGTTCGCGAAGATTATATACGAGGTGAGTTCACTGTATATTTTCACTACTATCCTGGTGTGTAAACGCGGTTTTCTAAACTGACTATCATTTTTGGTGATCTGGCAGAGACATCTTTGTACTGTTGGGGTGGATATCGGAAACATCCCTGGTCTTGCACTTTGGATAGATAGTGACGTTCCCGCGGCAATTCTTAAACCAATCCTAAGTTCCATCTCGTTCAAATGGGGACCTATATAAGTTACACGCCATAGGTCTATTGTTTTAGAGTAACCGTATGACAGTTCCTGTGTGCATAAAAGTTCCATGCATGTGCAGAGAATGAAACGCATATGGATGTTTTTTTCCCGTGAATACCAATCCAAGGAATTGTCAAATGTGTTCTCTGTTGAGAGCTGGTAGAAGAACTCGATAGGAAACCAATGAAACTCTAATGCAACAAAAAACAGGAAAAAAAACTTACAGGAAACTACTCACAAGGTCGCTGAAAATTCCTCGACAGCTCACGACCGGTTTCACCCTTCTTAGGTAGGCGCAGTCCTCGAGTTTTAGTCAACCTTATGTTCTACTTGAGACTGAATTGTGCAAACATCATAAACAAGAAATCCAGCATAGTTCCAAGTGAGTCCCTCGTGAAACCAGAGAAGAAAACATAATTGTGTAATTAAAATTAAGGATACCTGTGCATGATACCCCCCACTAAAGGCACCTTACAATAGTAAAGTAGTTTAGGCACAAGGTGTAAAATACTATAGCACAGTTGCCCTCAGACGCTCGTTGAATACGATCAGAGAAACGCAATAACTTTCATACTACTCTAATTAGCAACTACCGGAACTAGTTTTTCCCGCTAATATTAGACACATTCACTGTCCTGTTGGAAGCGTGTCTATCTCTCTAACCTTTGCCTATATCCCACACTAAGTAGTTGCAATGAATTGAGTTTGATCGGTGTGTTGTCACATACGGTCCACGACATCCACTGAGTATTACTGTTCCATCGAAAATGGCAGAGCTGAGTTCACCTAAGCTGTTCTGCCATTAGGCCAAAACAAAACAATCAGGATACATAGCTACGGGATTTTTGTCCTCTTGGAAATTATAAAAAGAGCAGTGAAGTTACGAAACAAAACAACTTCTAATGTAGGTTTTGGTTTCTCGTCATACCTATTGACCACACATGTTATCTTAATATGTCCAGTGAAATGATTCCCCTAAAGTTGGATGGGTCTGTTGACAAAACTGGTACAACCAATCTCACTCGCTTACATGCCCAAATCATTAGCGACATAGTGTTTGATCGCGAAGCAGAACACCGTTTACTTCCAATCATTTTTTTCCGGCAAATCAGATGATCCGAAGAACCCGAAATTTCGTTGGATAAGGTGTGCAATTTAATGCTATCCGGATAAATTTCGGAGTATGACGTCGTAATCTTCAGGGTTTTTTTGTATAGTTTATACTAAATGATTGAAAAATTTGGAAGTAGGCCTAAATATTTGGCTGGATTTTTGGGTTACAATGTGGAGAATAATATCAGTACTAGTTCTCATCTCACTTTAGGTTAAGCAATAGTTGAACGGTTGGTTGATGCTTTACAAAGACGGGTCACCATTTATGGTACACTTCTCATTGATCATCTAATTATTCGCTTAGCACTCACCTATTTGCCCACATATTTACCTAATTAATTAAGTGCTTATATACTTAACTGCCTAGTTACCTAATTACTCAAGCATGCTCAATTGGTTACTCAACAATTTCCAGTAGTCTATGTCGTCCGTTTGTGCAGCCATTGCGCCTGCACTCTGATGCTCCCAAAAATTTTCTCCCACAGAACCGGCAAGCTTTATTGCAGCCTTTGAAACCAAAGAAGAGGTTTATTTCGTCATTCGAGAGATGGATTCGTTGACATGCGTTTCTCGTGTGCTAGGTCGGCAGTCACCAAGTCTGTCAGAAAAGCCAGAATCAAAAGTTGAGAGTAATCTGAGTATCGTCACTCGGCTGATAAGGATATGTAAGGGTGACCGCGGAGGATACCCGTATGTGAATGAGGGAGAATTCGCCACATTTGCCAAAGCCACCCTACAATGCACTTATTACGGGGACGAGAACAGTAACTCACGGACAGGAGCAGAACTTTTATTCACCCACGGGCTTGCTGCTAACTGGGATTCGATCGGTGAACACCTTTATGTTAGTTTCTCAACACCCAGGTAAGAATATCACCGTTTTTCTGATATATGTTTTAATCGAGGGAGTGTTATGACAGTAGCAGGACATTGTCGTCTCCTAGTTTGGCGGAGGTCTTACACGAATCAGTGTTAGCTAAATAAGAACCACTTTGGGCAGACGGATAAGACTGTTGTTTAACCGTCGTCCTTAGTGGATCAGATTTTCGGTTTATTGTAGTTTGGGATGAAGACAAAGCTGAAGATGAGACATCGACTTGTAAGAGCAGCTCAAGTGTTGCCTAGGGAAGACTGCTTCCTTACAGAGGATACTTCGATCTTTTTCGCCGACTAAGCTTCACTAAGAAACGCATCTACCTACATGAGAGCTGTCTGTTACCGGTAATCATAATGATAACATGAGACTCCTCCTTACAGACTCAATTGCGTGAAAGTACATCTGCTGAAACCTGTTTTTCTGTGTCTGGCATGCGTATGGGTCATTCTTCATAGAAGCAGTAAAATCAACGTATGTGAATGTTCATGAAAGTCTAGATAAAACACTCGAATTTAGTCAGGCCTTAGAGGACATATCTTAATGTAATACCATGCCGATACAGGGTAAGTATTAGTTAATAGCCTTTTTTCTCTAGCCTACTTTAGGTATGCTTTCTTCATTTGTAGATAGTTCATTGTAGACCGTATTTTCTTCCATTCGGTAGCTAGAATTAAGCAACAAATACCAAAAGTGACCCACCAAAACATTCAAAGATCTCAGTTCTTCTATAAAACGGAAAATTCAAAAACTCGTTGTTAACGTAACCTAATCCCTATTTTAGATGACAAAATTGCATGTCGTATTTGGAACTAAGTACCTTTTTCCGCGAGCAATTTGTTACCGTTAAACTAAATATTGTTAAATAACCGGTTGGATTATTTCCTGAATATGTTGTATCCTACTGTAAAACTATCCTAATTAAGCTATTTTTCTTTCAGCGGATATCCAAAATCTGCCGCGATATGTATCTACTCTAAAGAAGCGATCGAGAAAGCATTTCGGAGTGAACTGTATTCATTGCATTCTGAGACTGGAAAACCAGAAGCAATTGCCAATACCTTTCCAAATATTGTGAGTTACTCCGTGCGTGTGCACACCGAAAACGCAGACGTTTTTGGTGCTGTAAACAAATAGCACACCATCATCACACCTATATAAAGTAGAGTTGAGTGTTGTTACTTTTTTCGAGTTGAATTTGAATGACTGAGTTCAATTTCTCTGCTCGTTTTATTGTTGTTACAAGGAAGATTACCATTTTGTTCAGGTTTTTGGGATGACGGAAATTCAAACGATTCTTTTGCTAGAACAGAATACGTTGAAAAACAATACTTCAAAATTGGGCACACAAACATTTTTTACAAACTGGATACACTACTCAGGAGAGCCAGAATATACTCCCATGCGTTTTGTTCATAAGTAGATAATAAATGATACGTTTTTTGTCCATTCGAGAACCCAGGCTTTTTCGGCTAGTACTTTATCCAGGACATTCTACAACGGAATTGGGATAAGCCGACTGATACCTAAGCAGCAGATTCCTAATAAGTTGGCCCAAATTGGTCCAGGTAAACCATCCCACATCAACACACCGTGATTGGCCCTCCTATATTAAAGCTGAGTGACCTCGACGTTTGGACAAAACATTCACACCTATGCGACTTCAGACACTACGTGGTTTAACTAGCTGTTCAAAGACAAAATACAACCGCCAAAGCTATGAGATTGAGTGGTGATGGCCTATTAAGGTAGTATCTTATAAAGTCTGCTTGGAGGGACCTTTGGTTTTCTCTGTCCAGATTAAACTTTGAAGAAGAAGAATATTTTTTGAACTTACTAATGAACCTTAGTGCTTGTCTGAAAGAGTTCAGAGGCTGTCTGTAATTTGGGTGTGATGTGCACAATAAACTTACAAGAAAGCCCAAATTACAATGGTTCGTCAACATGGAATCAAGTAAGAAGTATCTTGATTTAGAAAGCTATCGGTTACGGATTTTTAACCTGGATGAAAATTATAATGATATTCATTTCTTTAAAACATTCAGATGAAGAAGTAACCATTGCTCAAGCAGACCTATATCGAGGAGTTGTATACCGCTAGTTGCAGGTGGACGTGGAATTCATAGAATTCACATTCATAACTCTGGTTGTAACAGTTCTCCTCCCATCGCAGTACTATGTTCCTGATGAGTCCCTACGGGTGGGAATCAACGTACACGAATTACGCTCTTATTCGAGCTCAGCAGTAGTGCATATATTTGGCCGCACCGGAGTCTGAACTCTAGACATACGCCATGGAAGAAGGGTGTGAGGGAAAGATAGAATAATGTTAGCTGTAGGAACTATCTGTGACAGAATGGTGAGCTAGTAAAAATACAATTATCACCAGTTTCACGATGGTGCAGAAAGTTAACATAGATATCCATCTAGCTGCTACTTTCATAAAATTCCAGAAAAGGTTATGCAAATCCAGGAACCAAGGAAGGACGAACAAATAATTCTGGATCTTCTTTTGCTGCTGGTACGATCCAAGTGAACAGGTTGCCATAAATATGGTACACTAGATTCCATTCCCTCGAAAACAAGGGGAAATTGGTAGGCAGATAAAAGTTTTGGCTATGAAAGATAAACTTCACTTTGAGAAGTTCGTTTGCTTGTGATGAAAATCTGGTCGAATTTGCGATCAGTTTACGACATCGGAACTGACGTCTGCCGAGTGTGGAGTTCCTTGGTTATCGATCGAACAAAATGTACACTACCATATTCTCGGGGAATATAAAAGTTTTTCGCTCAGCTTCAAGTATCTCTGTTGAGAAAGAACACGAATTATTCGGGAAAACTAGGATGAATTATAGAGATTTTGAGGACAAAAGCTAACCGCAGTGTAAACGGTTAGACATGGACAAAATTCCATCGTTCATACTATGTTTCTTATCATTAGCCGGGGAGCATCGTGCTTCTCCAATCGATTAGCAAATCAACATATAGTCTTAAGAAATTCAGAGAATACCCGTGTCCTAGAGTAATATTACTGGAATGAGGAACGACCATTCCAAGTGGACAGAGGATTTCCTAAGATTTCCGTGGCCACTTCACGTTCATGAGCTCTAGGTACATGTTCTAGTCGTTGTTCCCTAGAACGTTAAGTTTGGACCAAACTAGCACCTGTTCTCTTAGAATTGTGTAAGATAAATAAGTCATTCAAAAGACTGTTGCACATTCAGCTTATCATTTTACTCTTTCTGCAACATTTCGCAATACTGGTACCTTGGGTGCGTCAAATGTTTATGGATCAGGTGGTATGGATCGCCGAGCTGGAACCGTCGGCTTGGAAACAAGTCTGCAAGTCCTGTGAAAACAACCCACAGCCACATGATCTACAGCCTGCTTACTGTCACCTGGATAGGAGTGTGAGTTTCCAGCTTTGGAAATCCGCACGTCGAATAACTGGATACGTGAAGCATGCCACCTGATACAATCCAAACCAATTTAAAATTGTGACCGTTTCATGGTTGATGATGGGGCTCACACGGTGGAAACTAATGTAGCCAGACCAGAACAGCTACTACTGACTAACACCAGTCTACTTAGGCGCAAACCTTTAACCGCTATTCTTACGGCTCACGGTTTTTCTGTAGCCGCGCCCTAGTGGCCCATTTCGGCTACTAACATGATCTTGATAGGTCTATATTAGGAAGCAGCCTGGGAATGAATGGTCTCAAAGCCAAGGACCATGGTCACACAGTAGTTGAAGATGACATCTAAAATGACACCGAACTGTCAAACACCTTGCGGACTGCACAAAATGAGAATACTTTTTTGTGTGTATCTGAATCTTGATTATTGTGGGAAATATTTGACTAACTTCATGTCCTAGCAATTGATAATTTTTAGTCGGTTGCTCCTCGGAGCAATCTTACAGTGACAGTCAGGGACTAAACCATTTGAAAATAGAAATACTATTTAGCTGAACGTCCGGTACTCTAACCTTCGGGAAGGCAACGTAAGGATAGTTTGACTAAAAGGTATGGTCAGTTCATACATAGAATTATGACTGCCTCATGAATGACATAAGAATCTGCTATAACGGGAGGTACTTGCCGTAGCAGATGGACTGTTCAAAAGTTCGAGGTTCTTTATATGCAGTTCTTACGTTGGTTCACCTTTCGTCTTTTCATATTCTAAACACAGTTTAATTCTAGCGTAGTCTGATTAGCTAACCTGGACTATATACTTAAGTGCAGCAAACTGATTTGAACAGAACGTTTGGTTATGTGAATTATAGAAAAATGTTTTCAGCATTCGGTTGCTGAATAGCGCATGTTAAACCACACAATTCATAGCTTTCTGTTTTTTTCCAATTTGTAGCTGGTCTGTTAAGCAAAGCGTCTTATTTCTTTCAGTGTTCAAGATTCAGCTCCAAAAGTCTAACTGATCGCGAGTTAGAACAAAGCAGGAGCCTATCTCGTAATCACGTCCTACGCAAAGATCCTATTCGTCCGATTAACAACCGTCCTGTGCTGATGCACCCTAACCCGGGTGAACCAACTGACTCTGTGTATCCCACAGATGTCACCTGGAACCATATTGCTATCGACAGAGGTGGAACAATAGTCGTTTTGTATTTGGCCAAACTCCGATCTCTCGAACGTTATTTGCTCGTTGGTTTCAAAACAAAGCCTGTGCTAAGAGCGTGCTATGTTGACAAGTTTCTACTTGACGCTGATAAAACGGCTGAAGTGATAACTGCTGTGGGTCAGCAAATTACGGTGAGAATTTGGCTTCATAACTGTCAATGTATGAGGGTTTTTGCCAAGACAAAAAAGCTTTTATAAATCATCGGTTTGGTAGTCATGTTTTGATGCTTATCACAATATAAGTACACTAATGTGCACTTTCGAAGTGCACTTATGTTTATTATCTACGTGAATCAGACAGTAGACTTTATCATAAACGAAACTTTCAACAGCATAGTCAACCCCAAAAGTAGAAACTTCATTGTGATGGCTGGTAATTGCAGGGGGAAGAGAGACGTCTATGCGGAAACGAATAGATTTATTGGTTGGTTGTAAATACATCAACTATGACAAACTCACACAAAAGAGAGAATGACGTAAACAAATAGGATAGTTTACCCCTTGTATGGAAGTTAGCTCTCTTTCAAGGAGAGCACGCAGAGTTATGATGAACACACGGATTTTTTTAGCCCTCCAAGCGAGGAAACCTTCCTCTGTAGAAGTGCATCTCAGGAGTACTGGAGTACAATAGAGATGGAACAACCTAGAGTTGGAGAAGGTACTATTCCTCCGTGCTTAGCTGCTTGGACTAGATTGCTCCGTTTTGTAAAACCTACACAGACCCAAAAGGTATTGTGCAATTTAATATATTGTGCATAACTTATTAGAATAGTGACGCCTTTAGTCCTCCTTTAAACCATAGACCATCTGTCCAACCTCCTACATTTAACAGACACCCTGTATTTCACGAACCATCTCGTCAGAAGAGGAGGCCGTTTTCAGACGTTGAAACTACCTGGATGAGAGAAATCTTTGTCTTTCTGAGTATAAAGTTAATAAAACTACCGCCACGTTTTGATCCAGTAAATGTGGCGACTTGCGATATAAAAATTTCTTTGATGAACTGAGCCATTTGTTTGAAACTCCACCAAATCTCAAATGGATTACCACTTCTGATGAACTCAAATAATAGACACATACCGATATCTCAGTGGTGAAATCCTCCTCAAGTCTCGTGTTACGATTTCTAGGGTTCATTTTTGTTACCTTGGAAGGATTATAGAAACTCACCCTGGTGGTACCAAAGACAAAAGAAGGTCTGAATTTCGACTACCTAGGTGTGGTCTGGACGGAACAAAATCTGAAACCTAACTGGACTAATGATTTGCCCTTTTGTGTTCATTAAGCATTTTGCTGCTTCTATGGCTATACAGCATTTAGACTGTACTCCAAATGTCAGAGTAGCTTAACTTCTAAACGATTGCACAGTCAGCCTATCAAGGAGTAATTTATGCAACAAATATAAAATTGATGTTGTTAACAAATCAGTTCTCTAAAAACATGTTTTCATTAAAAAGTCACTTCAGAATTATCATAGGTTGGTTAGTTCCACGGAAATGGAAAATTCTGGTGTAATGTACCCAGGTTTGAATCCACTCCTCCAATCTAAACATCGTATTTTGTTCTTAGTAGTTTGGCGTGCCAAAGTAGAATTAGTCCCTTCAATAACAGTGGTTACAAGTGAGTAATGGTAACAAATCATGATAGGATTTGAAATAAAACTGGTTTTGGATATGACAGTTTCCCTCGCTCGAAAGATATGCGAAAAAGAGGACAATATTGCAATCTAAACTATGGAACACCAATCTACCCTGATTTGTAATTTCGCGTACATAATCTGTCACCAGTTACCTTCTAATATCCCTTCAGATAATCCGTCGAACCAGCGGTAGTTCAGTAATTTTGACGTTTGATCTGTGAACTCACTCGCCCGTTTTATTATCACCTGACAAATGTGAGCATCTTTACTTGAAAATTCTGGATTTCAAGTGTGATTGACTATCCCGAGTAACAGTCTCGCTCGAGAAATCTTGTCGTCAGAGCGTAGTCGGTGGACCTGATCACACAGTCCACGATCATTCGATGAGCTAGGCTCCAAAGCGTGCACGAAAAAGCCATATGCAACAACATTACTTACTTTAATAATGGACGTCTCCTCAAGTACAGTTCTTCCTCGGCTTGTGACCCTGGCATACGGATGGTCATATTTGGACACCCTCTGATTTGTCCATCAAGATTAGATGGCCGGGGTAACTTCCAAGCCGGAGATTATTTATCTGAGCAGTACAGCCAAGTATAATACATTGACCTTCATTGCTATTGGAAACATACTTAGTTTTTATCCTAACCGTTTGCCGACAGCGTCCATTACTCTCAGTGTTTGAGGACATTAGGTTTTTCCAAAACTCATTAGTTCAGTTTTGGTGTTTTTCCCTTCACACCACAGAAGGAAAACGTTTCTCAATGTATAATAAATTGTTCACACAACAAGGGCTGGTTGCTTTAAAGAGTATGGATCAAACATATTGCATGTTGGTTTTAAACTACACTTAGAACTGATCTCAATACCGCAAAATTCAAGCATCCTGGTTATGGGTTCTTTTGTGAAGTACGATGAAAGACTTTTTTAACTGTGTCCGCAACAGCTGATTCCAAGTATATTCTAATTTAGGATGGCCAACTCTACCTTCTAACGAACAAACACGTATTACGTGTGCCCGTGAACGCCTATGGATGTCACACTCAGCGGTCCCCAACAACATGTTCTCTCGCAAAGAATCCATACTGCAAATGGGAACAAACTACGGGAACCTGTGAGGCAATAAAACTTGTTCAACTCACCCCGACGTCTGGAACAGCTACTGAAGATCGGGAAATTGAGGAGCTTTATGAAAGTTGTGAGAAAAACCCGCCAGATGACTCCGGTTGGGCAACGTCTAGCTTTTGGTGGGATAGTGTTGCTCAACTTACGGATATCAAATGGAGTACAGCTGATTTAAGGTCCGAAAAATCAGCTCTATTGCCCTGCCCACATGTCCAATTAGTTGCTGGTAATGGAAATGAACAAAACTTGACCTGTTGGTGTAGACCCTGCACTGACTGTAAACAAGGTGGTGATTTCCGGGTGGAGCTCTCAAACTGCACAGGTAAGTCGGATTTTCTCCGGCCCAAGGTCCTTGGAACCCATTACCCATGACAGTGAGCTTAAGCTCTGCGGGCTCTGCTTTATTACCATATCTGAGCTTTTGAACCGAAATCCTGAATCTGTTCGGTGTGTACTCATCACGAGTTAGGCGTTGTTTGCGCATGCAAATATTTTTTTCTGAGCAAAAGTTCTGACGAATAAAAATAACCCTTGTCAAAACGATCCGCTAGGTAGAAAGATCAATCGAATTTCAACTCAGCTTCACGCCACTATATGTGACAGAACCTCGGTTTTTCCACCAACCAGACTGAAGCATGACAGAAGTGACTAGGTTACATATCTTGTGCCCAAATTGCAAGATGATCACGTGAAACGAAATCAAGCGACCTGGATCAGATTGGTGGATGGAATGTGGAAAACGTCCTGAACACAAGTGCACATTCCTTCTTCTCTTGTTCCTATTTCGCACAACTCAGGGAAAATTGTGAAACGCCTTCATGCAATTATTCAACCCGTTAGCCGCAGTACGATTTGATGGTTTATGTTATCACTCGGACACTCATTTCCCCAACATTTCCATGAAAATTAGCACAGTTCATTACTACATGAGCCTGTTTATTGTACAATGAGTCCAGTCCACGTGAACTGAAATGTGATGACCGCGATCATCAATTCTCTTATGACTAATAGGTGAGCATTTTGGTCAGTTTTGTTAGCCAGTGTTCCAGCGAAAAAACCTTATAGATGAACAAATTTAGGTCCTCGCTGCCAAAGGGTAGTTTTCGATCCTAGACTAAAGACCCGAGATTACATATCCGTGACTGGCTGAAACAAATCTCCCCATTTATGTGTCTCCCATCACTGCTGAGATGTTCCTTGTCCTGAGAACAACCTTGGACAGCCACCAGACTTGTCACCAAAAATGATCAAACTTATCGTGATCCCATATCATCCACTCCATCAAGACCCATATATGCGTTATTGTAGGTGACGAGGTCTATCAATCGGGTGCCAACTCTCTCTGTAAGCAAGGCGAATGACATGTTTTACCTGACTTATCCAGTCGCATCTAGACGCGTTTGCTCGTGTTTATGTGATGTATGAAATAAAGACTTTTGAACTGTGATCGGTGTAGTTGCTTAGGCTCACCTTCATTCTACTATCGGCCTTATTAACATGGAGTTGCTCAATGCACTTGAGTACCTATAGGTAGTCGGCTTAAATCACACCCCAAAGAAAAAAATTATCAATCACACATTATGTGGATTCAAACATCCAGCTACAATCGAAAGTTATCCTTTTCACATTTGTAACTTTCTCAATACAGTTCTTCCATCCTGGTCTCCTTGGTCTCCATGGTCTTCGTGTCATTCCTTGTGTGGTTCCGGTGTACAATCCCGAACGAGGATATGCGACAGTCCTGGTCCATTGAAAGTTTCGCACCTGGATCACACGACATCCCTGCTAACTTGTAAATCGAATATTTCGAATGTTATTCGAGGAGATGTCGGCGACAGTGCACCGCGTACACAAATGCAATTTAAATACTGCAATGTGTATCCCACTTGTGATGACAGTGAGTCGTCCACCAAGTTTAGATAGATATTGAAATTCTATCCTATTATCACTAGTATGGCTAGTTTATACGGTTTATACAGTTTATACAGTTTGAAATTCAGATTCGAAAATCAAAGTGGGCCAGGAATGAGTCAGAAACTGCGATGCGGAAGCTGAAGGCGAAACATACACGACGGAAGCTTGGAGGTGATTGGCGGCAAACTTCATCTTGGAAGACAAAATGCTTTCTTTACAGTGACAAATTACGAAAACTCTGTTCCATAACTATGTCGTCCTATGAAAGTAGTTTCGCCCTCTTCGAACACAAATTTTTATGTGGTCGATGACCACCCGAATTCGGCAGGGCTGTTTAAAGATCCTCTCAAGAAAGATTAGTCTTACTGGTTCTAGATTTACACCTTATTAGAGCTCTTACTCCGATATGGGGTGAAGAAATGCAAGAACGATGGACGGTTTCGATAAAATTGTACGTATTTTATTACTCCAAAAGTTTCCTCCTTAGTGGTTATTCTTGGGGTATATCAAAGCAAGGGAACGCAACGACGATAGCTATGGTCGCAGTTTTATTCTTTGTATGGAATACTGTGTGTAGTTTCACCATTTAAGAGTAATAGAACGGAACGTCCCCATAGAAAACATGGAGTAAGTGCACAATACGTAAGAGGAAAATAACACCGGAAATCGATCTGCAGCAGACCTTATCTGTCAGGAACGCAGTATTCCTTATATCCAAAATTGTGCCGATTATTTTTTAATTTGTGATCCCGCGACTTATAAATTACAGAAACATAATTTGTTTCGATTTTAGGGGTTAATTACCAGTTCTCATGTACCAGTATTTTCATCGTGAAACTGAATCCGTTATCTCCGGCAAGCAAAAAGCGACATTATTTACCAAGATTCCCGTATACGATTTTCAAGCTTGTGATTGTGCGAAAGGAACAACGCAGTGCCCTGTAAGCTTTGCTTGCGGCTGCCTATTAGGTGTGAAACTTGCTATGATGAACTTCTAATCGAGTAATCCATAGCTCGTTAGCAATAAAGGTCTATTCACAGTGCTTAATGAAATGTCGATTTCAGATTTCCTAAATAGCTTCAACCGACAGTTTTACTGAAGCTTCAGAGGACGCAAACGTTTCTCAAGTACCGCTTATATAGTTGGGGTAAAATAACTCTAAGCTGCTGCATGACAATTAATGGAGTTGAAACTGTTGGACTAGATGTGTGATGTTTCGGGACCCGTAGAACCGTCTCGTCATTATGGTTGATCCTTTTGCTGTCTTGACGCGATTAGTGTGGTTGGTCTATACAGGAGGGGAGAAGCACAAGAGTGAGTTCTCGCTCACAGTTCAGCCGCAGTGCCCATCCTCGACCGTGCGGCTTCGAACTCCAGGTTTGTTTGCCTGTGCACGCTGAAAGTGTATATTCACGTCCAGTCAGGCAAGCATGTTCAGATGTGAGTGCTTTCATCAGCTCAATGAACTGAAAGAAGACCTGTTAACTGCCTTGGTTGTAACCACTTAGTCAATCGCCTGTCAGAACTACCAATGGCTGACCACTACTTACAACGTTCACTGTTGAAAAAAAAACCGAAATGCGGAATGCACTCTCACAATACGTCGTAGTACGTTGGGCGACTGCTGATTCACGCGTTCAGTTTATACTGATAAACAGTCGACTCTCTTACCTGAACTTCTTCGTCAAATAGCGTTACCCTGGGCATGATTTGCCCTCAACTAATGCTTGTCTATTTTCTTGGTTCTACAGACACTAACACGGATAAACAAAGCCTGGTTGGAGCAAACACTACGGATGTGTCATATGCTTGGAGTGAGTGGAGCCCATGCTCAAGTAACTGTGGTCTTGGCGTACGAACACGATCAAGGATCTGTAATGCACCGGATCGAGGGTTGACAGCTGCGGGAAGCCACGATTGCATTACTGTTGGGCCAGGCGCGACGGAGAATGAACTGTGTATGAACAATAGCTGCCCAGGTAGTTTCACTACATCCGTTTTCCCTCTATTCACTCATTGCAAACACTACGCCACTGTACGAGTCCGGAACACGAGTGTGTCCACTGCGTGATTGAAAATGACATGAAGGTGAAAACTTTGGACGGTAACATACGAAGAAAAAACGCGCTCGGCAAGCTTTCGTACTAATGCAGTTCATCCAATCCACAAGCTGGTATATTTCTCATCAGGTGTCCAACACTTCATTGATGCATTCCACTACACAAGCAGAGTTTTTTAAGTGATACCATAGCCAGTTTGAATTTTACAGTTTGTCTAAACATACCGACATTTTTGGAGGATAGTGGGATACAATCTAGGGATTGAGGTGGTCGCCAGTATTGAACCTGTTTGTCAGTAAGACTATACAGCTTTCCTTCATCAAGTGTTTTAGTGTACTATAGCTTGAGTATCTTGTGAAAGAGGCAGACTCGATCTTAGGCCCATAATCGAATAATTGCAAGAGGTCATTTACCACATACTCGTTGCCTATAATGTCGTAAGTATGGCACTCAGATCACCCAGTAGCCTTTACTAAGACACCATTGAAGCAATGTCTTTCGAATGCTGTGGAACAGATGCAGTTCTACTGGTATTATGCTTTAGATAGATAGAAATCTTGTGACTTCACTACAAAAATAACAAGTAGGGGAATAGTATCCCATGCAATGGATGGATGAAACTACTTTCCAAGATGGTTACCTTCTTTGCGAATTTCCATCAACCTTACAGGTAGCGTTTGTTTATAAAGAGGCTAAAAACACCTTCAAGTAAATAGCAAGTAATTAGGCGAGAATAAGCCGCCTCGAATTTTCACTAAACCTCATGCTCGTGTCGGATAACTGTCTTCCCATCCTACTTCGTCGTTGGTCTATTACTTGCAGCAGAAGTCTTCAATAGCGTTCGACGAATATCTGCTAGAATTTGGTACGTTAGAACGCTCTTTGAATCTGACGGTAAATCCACCATGTTGCGTACCATTCACTAGTGTCGCTTGGATGTTTTCTCACCTCCTTAGCGTCGGATCTGAACACTTAAATTCTCTTGTACGAAGTTCTGTTGGTCTGTTGGTTATCTCGAGTCACTGTAGCGTTGCGAATACTTTAAGCCTAAACAATAGAGGCATCCGCATTTTGTGAACTTTTATGCTATCCATAAGTGACACTTTGAAATTCCTTTCCAAAGGTATCTCTTTTGATGCTCAGCTATTCTTTGCACTTATGAATTTGGTGATTTCCACCTGAAAAACTGACGTTTTGAGCAGCTACGCGTCAATTTCAAAGGCAGTCCCAGTTTTGATATTTTAGTATTATCCAGTAACCAGAGTGTAGCCACTAGTCCATGCGACAACTTTACTTGTTTTATCCCCAAACAAACGTGTCGTGGCAAACATTGTGGGTCCCAGTCAGAAGTATGTTTTTCCAGCAAATACATACGACACCAAGGGAGGCATCCCATACGCTGATAGATAATGGATCAGTGAACTGCCAGACCGACTCTATCCACTCAAGACTGTATTGATCATCTTTTGAGAACTGCCGATCGCAGCAGATCATCAAAATATAACAGAGCTGGTCGCAGACACAAGCTGGCCCATTCAGATCTCGAATCGCAGTTGTAAATTCGTCAGAAATTTTTTTGTTTAAGCAACTGCAGAATGTAAAATAACATCTTGCACCGGAAGGAAACAATGACATCCAGGTCAGGTTCAACCATCTGTATTTGAATTTGGTTCGAGGTAAAGAAAGTAGCATATGATTTCGAATGAGAAAACTTCTCGTCTCGTTACAAACCGCCACCCAGTGAACAGCCTCAGTTCGGTTCATACCAGATATCACCAAAACGTCTATGCATACGCGACTCAACAATACAGAACACATCAATAGCAAAAGACATATAGTCTTCGGACCTCTTGGTCAGGCTCAAATCCCTCACCTCAACCGACCAAACAGAACCTTGGTGTTATTGTAAAAAACCGCACAGTACCGGGTCCTTTGTCGACCTGATTTCTTCAAAATAACAAACTCATTAGGTCGTCGAATTCTGATGCTTAAGTAGATCGGTAGAAGTAGTACAGCTCACTGTATCATCCTCAGAAAGCAATCTTGAGACGGACGGATTTGTTTAAAACTAATGTCTTTCGGCAGTGATGCACCGTTTGAATCCACAAAGCACGTAACTTCACCAAAATGCAAAAATTATCGCCCCTTGGAAAATCCACAGGATGATTACCTTCTGAAATCACTCGACTCTAGTACAGACTCATAAAGCCTAAATCAAATACCCCCCTCGGGTGCGGATATAGTGAGCTGGATTTACACGACGTTCTCTCCAAAATTTATCAATAAAATCCTGTCCTGAAAACACTAAAAGTATCCAAGTCACTACTTAGCAGGTTTTAACTGGAAAAATTTCTGAGCTACACCTAGCTTTTGAATAACTCATAAGAATTGGAGACATCATGAACGATGAATGAGCTTTTAAACACAACTCGAAGAAACTCCCCTCAAAAAACATGAGTTACAGATAGACGCTGTTTTTGACTGTTATGTCCGTTATTGCTTCCAACTTCAGAAATTATAGGTGAATCACGATGAGGTGGGAGTCAACCTAGCAGGACACAGAAGTCTACCACCACCAGTCACCTCCTGGGTACTTTTTTGTCAAATGTCGTGTTACCTGCCACGCTCTTGTGGAAGCCACAGCTGGCGGAAGAGGAGATAGTCCATTGCCTAGAAAGGGCGACAGCTGTAAACCTCACTTTAATGATAATACTTTGGGTTCTATCTTTTGTAGGTTATAAACTAACTTGTTATTTTTCCAGTCCAAGGATAAAATGTGCTGAGACGTTACTGACACTTGTGGACCGTTCGAAAAGTTTTGGACAGTTTGTATACTAGATGTACATGAAATATGCGGCTACGGCTTTATGAATGGACAAATTTTTAGCTCAGTCGACTTAGCATTGCATATTAATGTAGCTAACAAGTTTTTATGCTTCTTGCTTGTTATGGATACAGCGACTGCTTGAGATCCATTAGTTAGTTTGTGGTTGGCGCGCGGATGGTCAAAGTTAGTTATCTGGTTGTAATGTTAGGTGACAAGCACTAACAAATGTCTGTTTTACCAGAATGATGATGAATGCAAAAGTTATGTGCACTTGATAAAAAATAAATACAGTGAGAGAAGGGAGTAAGCCAAGAAGTGACTTATCGTTTGAGAACAACTGTTAACTGTTCCTGAGTGAAGTTCCTGGCGTCAGACGTGTCATCTCTGCAGTATAGCTGCTATACGTGTTCCGTAGTTTCCTGTGGGGACTTGTAGAGCTGGGTTGAATACGTTCCCTGTACGCACTAGTGTGTGCGTGTGTTTGGGTCGAGTTGCGTGCCTATTTATAGTGGGCAGTTTGACGAGAGTGGTATCCATTTGTGTTTGATAATCGCACGAACATGAATAAAACTTGACCTGATGAGGTTGGATTTTGTAAGCCTGGCGCGTCACGCAGGTGGTAGCCGCGTAAACGAAAGTGGATGGGAAACTGTCGTGTACATGTTGTTGTCTAAGTTCGCAAGTGGGACAGAAATTGTTACGTGTTTGTGACGCGTGATCTATAGAGTGACCGCTACATCAGCATTCAATTCTTTTCGGGCCGTACAGTTAATAAATACGTTGTCGCGTTGACGTCATCTTGGATACAGTGCTCGTTCATTACTTTGGAAGGGTTCGCTGATTCTGGGCGGCTGTGGAGCGTTGGCTGCGATTTTGGCATGACCGTCTTCTGTGCCTTCAATGCTCATTCCCATCCTTTCATCAACATACCGCTATTCTGTCCTACAGCTGTGGTACAGTTGAGTTGCTACGTTGATCTCACAAACCTGATAGTCTCGGCGATTGTATTAACGAAAGACAATGTTATTCTGTTCTATGGTCTAGGCTAGTGTGAAGAATTATTCAACGTTCGAGGGCAGCGACAGTAATTTGGAATGATGCACTGATGGAGTCTTCGTAGCCAAGGTGTCACTCGCCACCTAGTCTGTTGGCAATTGAACGGATATGTTGCTATGGTATATTAGTTTACATGGTTTAATATCCCCTTGACATTATCCGATGTGTATGGTGGAACAGGATAGTTATATGATGTGCATATAGCACTCCTTTCGTTGCCCGTTTTTACATAAAATTCAATATCAGTCATGATGTAACTGTTTTTGGACTGTCTGACATGTTTCAGGTGAAACACAACCCAAGCGGTTTGGCAGTTGGTGAGGTTGGTAAAGCATGACCCATGGCATACCTGACGAATAAATTCAAGCACGAACATTCAAGATAGTCAGATATACGACTGAGTGGATACGGAAACGTAGATGTACAAAGAAGGGCGTGCATGAGAGAACTCGACATGCTGCCTGCATGTTGTTGTATGTCACCTACAAGCGATTTTTTTGGTTAATTCATGTCGTGGATAGACCCTACGCTCAGAAAAAATCGACCCTTTTGGGAAGATTGGTATCTGATTTCAAAAAGAGAAGACGTATTCGAAACTCAGGATTTAAACAAGACGAATCCGGCGTCCCGATGTTGGATCTGTCGCTGTTCAGTCAAGCAGCACAGACCATTAGTGGTGATATTTAAGGCCAACTACCATGAAGATTGATATGGTCGCCATCCTCGTGTGACACAAGCCATAAGCTACAGATCGAGTGATGATCATCCCACAGTACACAGAACCACGTTTGCTTTTGGAAAGTGCATGGCACTGCTCCAGAATAGAATAAGAGCTACTACGGTCAAACTGCATCCAATAGCGAAGGATCTG